TTCAAAGATTTACTTTGCCGAAGGTAGTTGAAAAATTATTGTGAAATAGCAACACAACAAGGAAACATAATCTAAATTGAACATTTAAATTAAGATCAACACAAACCCATGCTACTACCAGATAAACCTTGCTTAACGTCCAGTGGCAAATATTGCATTCATATTTAGGACGTTAACACTTTTTAAAACAATTAATATAATAGGTAGACACTGCAATGTAGATTGACCTGGATGAAGGGAGGTAGATTAACACTGCGAATAGAAAATGAGAATATGTTTCATAGGGAGGAGTCATGGTATCTTGCAAAGGCTAAGTACCCCTCCGAGAAGTTTTACATGGTTAAACTTTCCATCAATATGTTTTTGTTTTTACAAATCCAGGTTAGTTGAGAGGGCACGATTGTTTTTACATTCCGGAATTTAGGTTGCTCTTTTGTGTACCCTACTTTAGTCAATGTATCTGAACAGTGTGATTGGACAAAATATACAGTATCTACTGATCATACTTTTTCAAACTGAGGGATGAATCAGGTGTAGAAAAATATGAAATAATTTTACATGCAGGTGAAAATGAATAATGAGAATGTTTTAAAATTCTGCATTCACTGCTTGATAAAAGACCTAAAAGCACTAGTGGCCTTAGGTTTATAAGGATAGCAAAAAAAGTAAACGGTCATGACAGATATTCAAATTCATTTCTGAATATTATAATGAAAGTACTTCAGTTAACTGTGTATGTAGAATTTTGAGCAGTGTTAGAAAGTGGGGAAAATTCTAAAAAGGCTAGCATTGTCCCTACGGGCCAGGAAATACTACCGTGCACCCTTAAGCACTTTCGACTTCCTTTACATGATGTACGAAACCTTTTTTTAAAACTTTATTGTAGATAATTATACAAATCAAGTACATACGTTAAAAAGTAATGGGGTGAAAAATGCAGTTACTGTATATTTTAAAAAATCGGTCGAAAACAGCAACATGACAGAGTTAAAAAATTGCAACTATAGGTTAATAACCCTTTTTTATCCTCTATTCAGGACGTTAGTCAGATAACAAACCTATTTTCCTCTTTAAACATGACAAATGCATTTATAGGAACATAACATTACAGAAATGTGAAATGGGTGAATTAAATTAATCACAGTATAACAATTAATTTCAGACAATTTATTGTATACGAGACAAAATATTAAACTCTTATTTTTCTTTAAAGAAAGATGACGATTCAGTTTAGTTTAGACAGCCAATACATAGAAAGGACATTCAAATGTTCAGAGGAGGCATTAAGCTGAGATGTGATGATAATATGATTGTTTACTATCTTATTCTAAATGAAGCACATGGACCTAAATGTAGAAAAATCTATAATAATTTCATTATAAAGATCTTCCATGTAGAATTTACGCCACATTGTTGTCTGCTTTATCGGCCGTTACGAACATACACAGCTTTTAAATTACCTGACGTTTGTTCTTTTACCTTTTGTGTGTGTTACTGTGCTGATTGACATTACAAAGTGGGAAAGAATTTATATATAAGGTTCATGTGTATTTTTTTCTCAATGTGCCGTTGGGCTAATATCTCATTGATGTATACCTTGCACCTCTTTTTACTCATATAAACAGTGTTTTAAGGTCAAGAGTGCACCAATGCTCTATTCAATGAATTGTCCTAGAACAAGGAAAATACTTTTCTAAATCACGGCTGTCATTCGGTAAATCGAGAAAAATGATCGTAAAAGAATAAGTAACGGTGGTCAAGTATTGCGATTGGATCGGGAAAGATCTGGTGTAGGATCGTGAAGGAAATCTTATCGAGAAGACACGTGCAACGTCAGTAAATAATCTAATTTATTCAAATTATAATGACAACTATTGGAAAAATAAAAATGTCTATCAAAATGGTTCAACATTATGATCAGTATCCAAGAAAAATCAAGTCTTAGACTTAAAAGTACACCATTTTTACAAAACTGCAGGAAGCAGATTGCTCATCGAAATTTTAGAGAAATAAAAATGTAAACAAACATGATTTAAAAAAAAAAAATTTTAATGCATAAACTACTTTTCAGTTAAAAATATCGTTCAATATTACTGTTAAAAATAGTCCTTAAAGTTATTTTGATTTAATTTAATCAGAAACTTTGCAAAAATGGTAATATTTGTAAAAAATTGATATTTCGGATCGCGAAAGATCGGGTACCGCATTTTGATGATTGTGAAAAAGAACCTTGAAATATCTGTTGCCGTTTATTCGTTATTGGAAAAAATCCACGAAAACGATTAAATCTTTCTTTTAACAATTGATAATTTATATTTGTACTTGGTATAGCTAAAGATTGGATTTACATGACTTATTCCTCTTCACTTTTATTTGTGAATAGGGAAATTATGGTTCAATGCCATTGGATCTGATTATTTGATAATACCACACCGACTAGTTTTCTTATAACAATATAAGTCCGTATGTCCGTCCTTCATACGTTTTATGTCGTTTGAAAAGTTAAGATTGTCTCATCTGCTTCCCATTGATTTTTATGCACAGCCATATTCATAAAACAAAGATCTTTGTTGATGTTTGTAAAATTGGGTGAAAAAAACATTGTTTAAAAAAACCAGCAGGAAAACAACTGTCATATTCCTGACTTGGTTCAGGCATTTTCCTACGAAAATGGTAGGTTAAATCTGGTTTTCTAGCTAGTTGATACTAATTGGTTAACGTGTGACCATATCTGGAATCCAACAGCCAAAACAGTGTGTAAACATACCTCACAGACATAGAACACAACTGAGTTTAACGTTCAAACACACTTACAATTAAATCAAACATAGACGACAACAAAAAAGCTTTTGCAGTTGATAATACATTTAGTATATAGTAAAGTTTAATTACGGAGCCCCTTTCAAACTGTTGAGCATGACTTTCAAACTGACGCGCACGTCTTTCAAAATGGTGTGCAAGACTTTCAAAATGGTGTGCAAGACTTTCAAAATGGTGTGCAAGACTTTCAAAATGGTGCGCATAAATTTCAAACTCGTGCTAACGACTTTCAAAATGGTGCGCATGACTTTCAAGAACTAGTGCACACGACTTTGAAACTCGTGCACACCAGTTTGAAAGTCGTGAGCTCCAGTTTGAAAGTCGTGCACACCAGTCTGAAAGTCGTACGCAACAGTTTTTGAAAGTTGTGCGCACCAGTTTTTAAATGTCTTGCGCACGAGATTAAAAGTCGTGATTTTTCAAACTATTGCGCACCAGATTAAATTTCCGGCAAATGAAAATATTTATATTTACATGGCACATAAGGGGTCCCGTAAGGGGCTCCTTATATAATGACATATACACATTCCCGATAAAATACAAAATAAGTAAAATATAAATACAAGTGTATACAAAATGAAAACAACACTGTAAAAACTTCGTGTGTCCGAAACGCATCTCTTGACCCATCCTCATAAGGAACGACAAAAAACATGGGGTTTTTAATTTTTGTCTAGTAAGGTAGCTATTTAAGATTCTTGGGTAGTAATTCGAATGTAGAGTACATGATTATAATAATAAAAAATCTTCATCTTATACATTTATTTCAAAAACCTGAAAGCTGGATGCATATATACCGAACCACGCCAAGAGGCATACGATCAAATTAAACATAAAAGTAAAAAGACAAATAAAGGTAAAACTGTAAAGTAGATAAAATGCTACACAGAGTCAGCACCTATAGAATCTATAACTCAAAACCATCCTGTATTATTTGTTAAGTAGACACTGAATATTTATCTCTTAGGTCTTGGTACTTTCCAATGAACTTTTTAAGAAAAATGACGAGACGTTCTTTCACAAAACCCTGTCTCATTAATTTTTGCTCCGGCACTTATAACTTTTTACAAACTCTGAGTAGCAGCTGCAAGCTCCTGAAAATCGTATGAGTTGAGAAATGTATACTCCATACGCGGATGAGTTGGTAAATCGCTACTAAGGTGAGGAAAATTCACAAAAATAACAAAATATTTCATATTAAGCAGCTCAAACTAATGTTCTTAGTTTTAGAGTCAAATTTGGTTAATAAGAAAGTCTCAATTAAACGGTTACTAATTTAAGCAGAGTTCCACTCTTTATTCCATAGATCCAAAGAACTGCACGTACCAGGACAGAGTTGTTGCACTTAATGACTCATTAGAAGACTTTGAGCGTTGCATTAGAATTGGATGTCTTGCTAACGGTGGTATGCATATTTGTGGGTAAGGACTCATTTATAATACACGTTTTAATCAAATTTGGTTTTATTCTCTCGATGTACCATTTAGTTAAATCATTTTCAAAAGTAAAACATGCCTAAAATGATGCTAATGAAGGTAATAGGAAAAAACACTAGAAGGATATAATAAAACAATTGTTGGTTTTTTAATGTCCAGCGGCAAATGTGTTAAGCATATTCAGTACGCAAAAAAAGATCCAAAATGTATAAAACTTAAAGTGTCAAAATAAAGGTTCGATAATGTGTCAAAATAAGACAGTGTAGGTGGTCTTTTATTGCACTGGAAAAGTAGTGGGAATCGTTCATAATCAGAGAATGAAGCTACTAGAGGACTAACCCTGTTTGACATAGTTTTACACATAGGATTTAACAGAACCAAACGGTTTAATAGTAATGATAATAAAAAAAAGTTTAGTTCTCCCACTTTGGGAACGTATAAGACAATTCGTGGGATCATGGAATAACCAGTAATGTCTGATAAATGGAATACACAGGATAAGTTTAATTCCTGTTAATATATAATTTACTTATTATCATTTATCTTCGCATCATAATATTTGGCTTCCGTTTATATTTGTGTACTGATATTCATGACCTATACGTACCGTGTACACTGTTAAAATAATTAAAAATTAATTCCATAAGTGAATAGTTTTATACTAGTCAAATTGATAATATAGAGAGACAGGCTTGCCTAAGTTATATTCTTATAAAATAAATCGTTTTTTCTTCAGAATTGGAATAAACGCTGGTGTATTTCAACCACCTCCAGGATGTAGAGTTATAAAGGGAGACAAATGTGCACCTAAACTGGTTGACGTAAATGATAACAGTATGGAATGCCACCCAAGAGTCGATGAATGACACAAACTCCTATAAACCAACAATAATAAAATTAGTTATTACATTCATATTTTAAGCAACATTTAATTATCTCTTTAACTCAATATATGACATTATAATAATAACAATAATAATAATCAAAACAATAAGGCTGTTTGATGGTTATCTCCCATGCAGTAAAATGAAAATTACACTTTTAAAATTTGGTGCGTTCGAAGTGTTATCCTGGAGTTACTTTCATTAGGAACACTCAGAACAAACAATTGAAAGCAAAGTGTGTATAAACACTGGAATAATAGAGTATAAACACTGAAATAATAGTGTATAAACACTGGAATAATAGTGTATAAACACTGGAATAATAGAGTATAAACACAACACTGGAATAATAGTTTATAAACACTGGAATAATAGAGTGTAAACACTGGAATATTACAGTATAAACACTGGAATAATAGTGTATAAACACTGGAATAACACTGGAATAATAGAGTATAAACACTGGAATAATAGTGTATAAACACTGCTGGAATAATAGTGTATAAAAACTGGAATAATAGTGTATAATCACTGGAATAATAGTGTATAAACACTGGAATAATAGTGTATAATCACTGGAATAATAGAGTAAAAACACTGGAATAATAGAGTATAAACACTGGAATAATAGTGTATAAACACTGGAATGATAGAGTATAAACAATGGAATAATAGTGTATAAACACTGGAATAATAGAGTATAAACACTGGAATAATAGAATATAAACACTGGAATAATAGTGTATAAACACTGGAATAATAGAGTATAAACACAACACTGGAATAATAGTTTATAAACACTGGAATAATAGAGTATAAACACTGGAATATTAGAGTATAAACACTGGAATAATAGTTTATAAACACTGGAATAACAGAGTATAAACACTGGAATATTAGATAATAAACACTGGAATAATAGTGTATACACACTGGAATAACACTGAAATAATAGAGTATAAACACTGGAATAATAGTGTATAAACACTGCTGGAATAATAGTGTATAAACACTGGAATAATAGTGTATAACCACTGGAATAATAGTATATGATCACTGGGATAATAGAGTATAAACACTGGAATAATAGAGTATAAACACTGGAATAATAGTGAATAAACACTGGAATGATAGAGTATAAACAATGGAATAATAGTGTATAAACACTTGAATAATAGAATATAAACACTGGAATAATAGAGTATAAACACTGGAATAATAGTGTATAAACACTGGAATAATAGTGTATAATCACTGGAATAATAGAGTATAAACACTGGAATAATACAGTATAAACACAACACTGGAATAATAGTGTAGAAACACTGGAATAATAGTGTATAATCACTGGAATAATAGAGTAAAAACACTGGAATAATACAGTATAAACACTGGAATAATAGTGTATAAACACTGGAATGATAGAGTATAAACAATGGAATAATAGAGTATAAACACTGGAATAATAGAAAATAAACACTGGAATAATAGAAAATAAACACACTGGAATAATAGAGTATAAACACTGGAATGATAGAGTATAAACACTGGAATAAAAGAGTATAAACACTGGAATAATAGAAAATAAACACACTGGAATAATAGAATATAAACACTGGAATAATAGTGTATAAACACTGGAATAATAGAGTATAAACACACCACTGGAATAATAGTGTAGAAACACTGGAATAAACACTGGAATAATAGTGTATAAACACTGGAATAATAGATTATAAACACTGCTGGAATAATAGTGTATAAACACTGGAATAATAGTGTATAAACACTGGAATAATAGAGTATAAACACTGCTGGAATAATAGTGTATAAACACTGGAATAATAGTGTATAATCACTGGAATAATAGAGTATAAACACTGGAATAATAGAGTATAAACACAACACTGGAATAATAGTGTAGAAACACTGGAATAATACTGTATAATCACTGGAATAATAGAGTAAAAACACTGGAATAATAGTGTATAAACACTGGAATAATAGTATATAATCACTGGAATAATAGAGAATAAACACTGGAATAATAGTGTATAAACACTGGAATAATAGAGTATAAACACTGGAATAATAGAGTATAAACACTGGAATAATAGTGTATAAACACTGGAATATTAGAGTATAAACACTGGAATAATAGAGTATAAACCCTGGAATAATAGTGTATAAACAATGGAATAACACTGGAATAATAGAGTATAAACACTGGAATAATAGTGTATAAACACTGGAATAATAGTGTATAAACACTGGAATAATAGAAGAGCTATATGACATAAAGGCTCCTAAGATAGCCAAATCCATCTACGGTTAACTTGGCCTGAATTTATCATCGGAGAATTTATGAAAAATCATGTAAATACCGCAGCGCTGACTTCTGAGCAAATGGTACACTCGGGGACTAGGCGTACACTAGCAGGGGTATTCATGAAGTCTTAGATAAATAAAAATAATCATCATCAGGGAACACTCCAATGCCAAATTTGAATGGAAATACACATTTTGAATAGCTGAGAAGCTATATGATAAAAAAAAGGTTCCAAGAGACATAAATTATTGGTTATTTATGCTGTACTGATAATTGGCTCAAATTAAATAGTACCAAAACATTTTATACACTAACAGCAAAAACCAGTCTTATATTTCTACAAAAACGGTGTAAATGAATTAAGTTTTTTTGAAAATAGTAAAAGTACGGAGTGACGACTGTATATCAGTACGGAGTGACGACTGTATATATGTATGGAGTGACGACTGTATATCTGTATGGAGTGACGACTGTATATCTGTACGGAGTGACGACTATATCTGTACGGAGTGACGACTGTATATCTGTACGGAGTGACGACTGTATATCTGTACGGAGTGACGACTGTATATCTGTACGGAGTGACGACTGTATATCTGTACGTAGTGACGACTGTATATCTGTACGGAGTGACGACTGTATATCTGTACGTAGTGACGACTGTATATCTGTACGGAGTGACGACTGTATATCTGTACGGAGTGACGACTGTATATCTGTACGGAGTGACGACTGTATATCTGCACATTAGTGTCATTAGTCTGCTGTACAACTCATCAAAACGATATTGTTAATTTAAATTGATGACTTCAGGTATAATAATTTCATCGGCTTGATGTCCCGATCCATGTGCGCCATATGGACTGGCTGATGAAGAGAAATAAGAGTAAAATTGAGAATAGAAATGGGGAATGTCTCAAAGAGACAACAACCCGACCAAAGAGCAGAAAACAGCAGAAGGCCACCAATGTAAATAAATGAAAGTTGCCTTTGATATCGTTGCAGAAAAGATGTTTCAGTGAAAGGGGGATAACCTAAATAGACCTTTTCAACAATTGTCTATACCTACAGTTGAGAACGACTACGACATGTGAGATATGAGGGGTCGTCTCAAAAAATAAAATTTAAAAATATTATTGATCGCATATGATTATTTTGATTGCCAATGAGGCCACTATCCAACATGACGTGTATATAAGCAATTGTTGTGTACCGTACCTTATTTTGTTTATTAGGTATTTGTTTATCAAAACTAAATTTATTTGTGAATTGACTACGAAGAAAAGGAAGGACTACAATGTTTCATTTCTTTTAGACGTCGAGTTGAAAAATGAAAAAAAAAAAAAATAAAAAAAAAAAATACCTGTATTTTTGTAGTAGATGTTTAATTAATCAATGTTTTATATCTGTTGACTAGGGCGGTACATGTTTCTATAATGTCTGTTAATTTTGGCTTCCAATGTCTCAATGGTACTCATAACAAAATAGATACCAAGATTTTTAAAGGCCCTTGGTGTCTCTTCTGATTCAGATTCAGATTTAAATCGTAAGCTTTTTTTTTTCGTTTTCTTGCTATTTTTTATGACTTCTGCAGTAGGAAAAAAAATCACACAATGCAACATATAAAACAGACATTCAGTTACCGCATAGTCTGCATTTTGGTTAAAGACCCCAATCTCCATCCCCCCCCCCCTCAAAAAAAAAAAAAAAAGGAAACAAAGTTACTATCTTTGATCGAATAAAAAGGAATTAAATATGACAGCGAAGCATGATGTCAAAATATCAAATTGTAAACTAAATATTCTATTGTGACAAAAACTTACCAATTGCAATGACCAACTTGTTTAGGAATTGTTTCAGGCGCATAAAACATGCGGCGGGGTTTCACTAGTATAATTGGGATCTTAAATCTCACCTATGTATGGTCAGAGATGAAATTTAAAAACCTTTATGCATGGAAAAAATAGAAAAGAGTAGAAGACCAAAGCTATGTCCTGAAAAGGGGAAGGGTAAGCAGTTCTCGCTTCTTGCAAGACACACGAAGGTCATATTCCAGGAACAGGGAAAGGAAAGGAAAGGAATCTACGACAGGAGAAAAAAGTATGTTCACGTCTTTCGGGACACGGACAACCTATAACGGTCAATCAGTTCGGCGCTGTCAAAAAGACACTGCAATGACAACAAGCTCTGTTGGGATATAAATACCATACGCATCACTGAAGAGACATTAATTGTAAAAATGCGCATGTGGCGCAGAAAAAGATGGTGCCGTTAATGTAGGAAACATCTCAATTTTAACATGGTATCTTAAAGCGGAGTAGTCTCTCGTAACTAAATTATCGATGTGGCCTTTTCCTTTGACCTTTAAACAAATAGGCTTTTACCCCTCCCAAAATTGAATGTGTACAACAAGTGACGTGACGAACGGTTGAGAAACACAACTCTAGCGGACGGACGGTAGTCCTGTTACAATGTTGCTTCAGCAAATTTCATAAATAGCATTACAAAAGCGAATTAATCGCAATTGGCATGTGGAACAATCTGCGTTGACAGACTCGCTTATCTAAATACTCACATAATAATGAAATTTAAGAAGAAAAAAAGGCAGATTATGTGAATTGATTGCAGTAATTATTTACTTGAAGGTTTAATAAATTCAACGTAAAACTACATGTAATAAGAATGCTATACAAAAGAGAGAGATATAGTTCATATTTGTTTGAAATATGTTCTTTCGTCAAAATAGTGTAAAACGATAAATCGAAGGTGTAAAAATAATACTATTCATGAATGATTTTTAGTTTTGAGACGACCCCTTCATTTTACCTGTAAACTGTAGGTGTCATTAGTCGGTGTCGAGAGTTATTGAAAAGGTCTAATAGGAAAGAGTAATATGCTATAATAGTCAAACGAGTGTTCTATGCAGGAATATAATAAATGAATCTTTTATAAAGTTCCAGTCATCGGAACTTAATTTGAGATTTCGAGAAAATGACCGGTTTTCAAACAGCAGAAATATATATATATTGGCAAATTTCAAAATAAATGCAAATTTCTTATCACACGAAATTGATCAATTTCAAGATGAACAAGTCAGTCATTCGCCTCCGGGTGCGGGAGTTTCTCGCTGCATTGAAGACCCATTGGTGGCCTTCGGCTGTTGTCTGCTCTATGGTCGGGTTGTTGTCTCTTTGACACATTCCCCATTTCCATTCTCAATTTTATTAACAGACATTTAAACTTTTCTTTATTTCGATTAATTGTGATCCAGTAAATCTATATAGATGGTCGGGTTGTTGTCTCTTTGACACATTCCCCGTTTCCATTCTCAATTTTATTATATACAGAATTTTCCATGGTGTTGTCTTGCCATTTTCAACTTATGATTTAGATTTTTTTCTTGTTACTTTCTTAATCTTTGTATATACTTATATAAACCAAAAATTGAAAGGGCGACAGTGAACAATAACAACTTAATAGATTCGGGTTGATTTAGAATTTGACTTTTTATAAACACCAGCCTATAGTTGAAGAATGTATGTTGTCATCTAAATATCGTTTGTTATTTTGTTGTTGGTTTGCTGTTTCATCGACGTTTATCCACAATCTACTCATTTTACGGGTTACCTTAACAGTGTTCAACAACCATGAATGAAAGCATATTCATTAATTCGAACAAAGAATTGAAATATAATGGGGTAATTCAAGCCACTGACATTAACCAAAAATCACATCATTCGGATCTATTTGAACCTGATGCAATTAAAGTACGCTGCAGGTATAAACAGTGATGAGGGTGTGGATTGGGGTCCTCTATTTCTGTATTCTTTAATTTTTAGACCCCTTTTCTCTTCTTTATTTTGGCTTATTATTCTCTATACTTTAGATTTCAGCACCACGTTATTCTCTACTCTTTATTTTTTTATCCTACTTTTTCTCTATTCTTTATATTTGTTGGCCTTTATTCTTCACTTTTTGCCCATTATTCTTTATTCTGTAAACCCAATCCAGACCCTTCACTCATCCGTCCCCAACATTAGCTACCACTGATAACGCTATTCCGTAAATTTTTCGTTCTCTTGTCCGATATTTGTTTATTTGGTGATAAGAAAGGTAGGTGTATCATATTTACTTGTTTCTCCAATATAATATTAAGCAAAACAAAGATAGAAGCATTGAATAAGTTAGAGACATGTTTTTTGATCAGTGATGATGAAATGCCATGTATCGTTATATTTCGAGCGGATGGGTAGACCTGACAGCTCTTTTAAAAAGTTAACTAATCCAATCACATTGAAATTACTGGTTATCTCCCTTTTGCTGACTAATAGAGTATTTATATATTTTTATGATCTTGTATAATTATAGGATATGAATATAATAAAAATGCTTAAGATCTAAATAATCCGTTTACAATTGTATAAATAATACAAAAGTCATGTTAAATATGTATTGAAGGGCCACAGTGCCTAGATTAGCCAGATAAAACGATCTTGATATATTTATGTAAACATTAGTATATTTAAAATTATATATAGTATCTAGGCTAATCGTCTTTAATTAAGATTATAGTTATTTTTTGCCGGGTTACTCAAAAAAAAGGTGATGCCGCGGGCACCTGCAGACGTTCGGGCGTTAAAGTCTATGGAACGCCACAGCTGTCTTATGTGGAACTCTGATATTACTTTATGTTGTTTTATTATTACTTGATGATATTTTGTCTTTACTTAATGATGTTTTGATATAACTCAATATGGAATAGTCATTACTTAATGATATTTCGATATTACACGATATGGTTTCGTATTGACTTGATATAGTTTTGTCATTACTCAATATGGTTTTGTCATTACTCGATGTGGTTTCACCATTATTTAATGTGGTTGTGTCATTAGTCAATGTGGTTTTAACATTACTTGATGTGAATGTGACTTAACGTTACGTAGTTGTTTCATTACATGATGTGGTTTTGTTATTTTGTAATGATGATTTGCATATTCTTTATATGGTTTTAACATTACGTAATGATGTTTCAAAATTTGACGATTTTACACTACATGATGTGTTTGTTTCATTATTTGATGTGGTCCTGTCATTCTTTGATGTGGTTATCCCATTACTTGATGAGGTAAAATCATGTGACCAATTCGGAAAAACCTGTTCTATTTTTAGATAGATTTCCATGTTGTATGTGCCTTGGATGAGTGTGGCCATCCATCGAATTAGAGTTCAAATTAAAGTTCGGGTTACTGTTTGAGTTAAACTTTGAGTTAGTCTTCGATTTCGAATTCAAGTCATTATTAGAATTAAAGTTTTAGTTAGCATTGAGTCTCGAGTTGGACTTCGAGTTTGAGTCACATTTAACTGAGGTAGAGTTCTAGTTACAACATTAAATTTGAGTCACTTTTTGAGGTAGAGTTTGAGTAAGATTCGAATTTAAGTCTCATTTAGATTAATTAAGATTTTGAGTTGAAATTCGAGCTATCTTATATAAGTTCGTAATTAAATTTTCTATCGCGGAACAAGGACTTTTGCTCGGGCTTCCGAAAAGAGGGCTCCGGGGTATGCGTACAAAAGATAAACACTGTTACAGTATACAAAACGCAACATAGAAGTTGAAATAAAGTTAGATGTGGTGTGATTGACAATGAGACAACTATCCATCAGAGTTTAAATGCAGTGGATGTAAGAAATCATATATAGGCAACCGTACAGCCTTCAACACACCGTATAGTCAGCTACAAAAGGCCACCATGCAACATGTGAAAAAATTCAAACGAAAAAACAAACGGTCTTATTTATAAATAAACAATCTACAAAAAAAAAATGACACACATTTATACAACGACAACAATTGAACTTCATGCTCCTGACTTGGGGCAGGTACATAAAGAAATTGCACGTGGCGGAGTTTAACATGTATGTGAGCGCTAAATCCTAACCTTACATCGGACTGTTACAGTTGTGTAACAGCACAACACGAGAAAAAAAATGTAAACTAGACAAAGTGATGCCCACGCACTCAACTCATTTAACCGCTTATACCCCAAAAATTACAAAAAAAAGTTCAATTATCTCCCAAAAGAGCAAAAGATAATAAAAATAAAAACCCTGACCACATGTACACCTTCAATATATGTACAAACAGACAGTAAAGAGAAAACTTCCTAGGAATCAAACTGTAGGAGGAGTTATGCGGAATAACTATATACCCATAATGGGACGGACAGACGGACGGACGGACGGACAGGGGTAAAACAATATGTCCCCCCCCCCAACTTTCAGTTGCGGTGGCATACAGAACAGTTTAATTTGGCTGTTTCAATAGATCGGTATGACTGGGTAATATAAATCCATCGGGGTGATCTCGGATGCTCCAGAAAGGCACCCGTCGTGTTTTTCGAGAATGTACAAACCCAGTGATTTGGTTTTATTTGGTAGTTTACATTCAAGGAAAAGATGACGATTTTATGGTTACGACCACTGGAACATGTCCGTCGTCACATATGAAACAGATATTCCAAAAAGTTTATTTTTCAATTAGTGCGAGGTAGATCAGGGAATTCAATTGATTACAAATAAAAGATTGATATTCGTAAACGTTCAAATGATCATTAACGCTAAAAAAAATTCGGAGAATTCTTATTTTATAGTATTGATGCTTTGTCGCTTAGTCCGAGCCCCCCTCCCCCCGTTTCCCTGTAACTTTAGTGTGAGTTGATTTGAAGTGTTTCATTTGTTAACAATAAAGTTCAAGTCTTTTGATTTGTGTCGAGCCTGCGACATCAATGTAGCGGCAGTGAGACACAACAAACCTATATTTCGTCGTCGATAGTGGCGTCGGCGTCTCCATCTCCATTTTTTTTAATTTCTATTGAGTTTAACCTTTCATTATACATGTTACTAAACATGTATGCCATGTATATTACTTTTAGAATATCATACTGGATTTGTTTACCTCGACTATTGTATCTGAATTTATATTGTATGTTTCTCTGTAAACTTGTATTTAGTTTTTAGAGAATAAAGTATCTATCTATCTATCTATAGATCGTCAGGTTTCTAGGTTTTTTACATTTTTCATTTCGGGACCTTTTATAGCTTACTATAGGGTATGGGTTTTGCTCAATGTTGAAAACCATACAGTTTTGTTTTAGTTAAATAAAACCGAATTAAACTGTTTTGACATGATAAATTTGTAAACCTCCATGAAGTGTTTTAAAACTTGTATAGGAGTTATTCCTCAATTTCAAGAAAAAGTATCTACAGAAAAACATTTTTTTATTTTATTTTTTTTTTACCGATAAATGTATAGATAAATGTACAGCCGATCAACATGACGCTTTTACACTTACAGCAGCAATATCAGGCGAGACACAGGGTTCCGTGGAATATTTTACAAATTTATTACAAAAATACTGCTTCCGTTTGAGAACTTAGGATAAAAACAACAGGACCAAGTGGTTTGGGGATATCCCAATTATGTCCGAAATACTGTAAACTTTTTAATACTTTTTTTCTTATTATTGTCTGTCGTTCCCCTTTTTCATACCAAATAACTCTGAACAACCACTCGAACTTTAATTTGAACTTTAACTCAATGGATAGCGATACCCATCCAAAGCACATTAAAAAACGATATATTGAAATCTGTTTAAAAATAGAACATATTTTTTTCCGAATTGGTCACGTGGTTTTACCTCATCAAGTAATCATGGGATAACCACATCAAAGAATGACAGGACCACATCAAATAATGAAACAAACACATCATGTAGTGTAAAATCGTCAAATTTTGAAACATCATTGCGTAATGTTAAAACCATATAAAAGAATAGGCAAATCATCATTACGAAATAACAAAACCACATCATGTAATGAAACAACTACATAACGGTTAAGTCACATTCACATCAAGTAATGTTAAAACCACATTGACTAATGACACAACCACATTAAATAATGGTGAAACCACATCGAGTAATGACAAAACCATATTGAGTAATGACAAAACTATATCAAGTCAATACGAAACCATATCGTGTAATATCGATATATCATTAAGTAATGACTATTCCATATTGAGTTATATCAAAAGATCATTACGTAATGTCAAAACCATATTAAGTAAAGACAAAATATCATCAAGTAATAATAAAACAACATAAAGTAATATCAGAGTTTCACATAAGACAGCTGTGGCGTTCCATAAAAGTCGGTACCTTTTGTGTATATACACGTATTAAAATTTAGCAATTGGTATTATGGAATTGTTTGAAGAATTGTTCCCAATTTTACAGTCTTATCAACCTAATTTTTTCGGCAAATTTTTCGAAAGAGTAACCAATTTTGTGTGATGGTTTTAACACCAGATTATTTAAACATCACACACTGATTACACTTGTATTGAAATCTGCTTCTATGAAATAATTGTGATATTTTCCACATTTATCCAGGCTTTGAAACTAAGTCCGTTTTTAGCAGAATTTTAAAAAGACGATTCGACTTTTGTGTTATCAACTTCTCTTAAAATTTTGAAACTTCAATGAAAGTTTACGCTCCTGTAAGGTTGTACACCTTAAATAACGGAACTATTTTAATCCTCCTCCCCATTTCCCCGGTTTTATATTTCATTATATCTAAACATTCATTATATACCATCGCATTCTTCAATGTTTTATAAATATTCTGTGAAATCCGGCCATTTGAGTTTTTTTTTATCATTGTTGATAGTTTTGTTGATAATAAAAAATGGACGAATTCCTTTATTTGTCCCGTTTCGTCGTAAATATAAGTACAATTAACAATTTGCAAAAATGGAATCAAGGTAAGTTTAATTTATTTTTACCGCAACTTCTACTTAAGAAATGCGTGTTGTATACACTAAACCCACTATTTTATGTATATACTTTCCAATGCTAGCATCCTTTCGCTTTTAATGAAAGCTGTATATCTCTTGTTAGTGCATTAATGGTGCATAATGATATTCCGATTAACAAAACATCCCACATTTTTATAGTATCATGTTACACATACAATGTACATTGTCCTTTTTTTTTTAAATTCGTCATGTGATACATCAGATAAGTGCATCACAAAAGTAAGTTAATTTT